AGGGGGGCCTTCAACGTTGCCAGACACGCTCCTGACAGGGGGGGACAGGACGACAAATTGTAAATTAAATCCGACGCCATTTCAACGCCAAAAACTTGGAAGTCAACTTCGTGACAACTTGGCAACCCCCATTTCCGTCCTCTCCAAGCGATGGTGAGTTTTCTCACCACTGCACCGGTCGCTGAAGCCAGGACGCGGCGGTGGTGCCCAGAATGCCCATCGGAGATCAGAGAACCGTGCGGTGAATCATTTCGGCGGCCTTGGTCCTCACGGCCGAACCCCCCCCCCCCCCCCCCCCTCCTCAGGGGTCCCCGGCGAGTGCCCCATTGACATGCGTTGGAATTGGGAAGAGGCACGAGATCGGAATGATGAGACAGTGACTTCTATTCTGCCGTGCTAAGGAAAAACGCCGAATGAGCCCTTAGACGTTGCCAAGTTTCCTCCGATAAAAACCGAATTTACTGGGAAAATTGTGAACATTTTCCGGTCAATTTTGTTTACGGTTCAATATGAAATATCTGAAAATTTCAAGGAAAAATATGCATGCATAACTTTCCTCTAAAATACATTTTTCATTCGGGGAAATCTGGCAACTCTCGGAGGTTCATACGGCGTTTTTCCTTAGCACGGCAATATTTTGACCGCTCGTCCAGCGCCGCACGGGCACACTCGCGTAGGAATATTGAGAGCCACAGCTCTTTCGGACGTCAAGAAGTTTCGAGGCTGCACGGTGCCTGGAAGTCCTGACCTTTAAGAATCGGACGGATTTTCGGCCGAACTTCATTTTGACTGCATTTTGCACATATTTTGCAATACAAGTACAATGGACCACTAGACAAGGTACGAGTTAAAGGATTCTGATACATGTCTCTTAACCTGAATTTCACGTAGAACACGACTCGCGCAACGAAAATGACTGAAACCAACTCCTAACGGTAATAATAACGTTTTTATTTCACATTGGTTACGAGGAATTTGAACTGCCCGCTCACAAGAAACTCAAAGCTCCACGTGAGTCAAATCGCGCACTACAACGGTTTCGGCAATCTTCTCTATCGAGCAATGTTCATTTCCCACCATGTGTTGTTTAAACTGTAAGCAATTTGCTATAGCTGAGCCAAAGCGTTAAGATTGAGGTTGCCAGATTTTTATATCGCAGAGACTGTCATGATAACGTTTAGCGCGCGATGTGAATCACGTGGAATATTGAGTTTTCATGAGCGGGTGGTTTGAATTCACGCATCAAGAATCAGTAAATATCTTCGTAAGGAGTTGATTTCGGTAATTTTCGTTCTGCGTATCGTGTTCTACGTAAAATTTTGGTGAAGAAACATGTATCAGAATGCTGAAATTCGTACCTTGTCTAGTGGTCCATTATCTGGCTCATCGGTTGAGTAATTTGATGGAGAGAGCATGGACATAACGTCATGACGCCTCCACCCTCCATGGAGGCCTCAGGGCCCAAAATGTCTGCCAACGGCACTGGAAGAAAAATCACATTGGATCTAGAGTCCAGACACTTAAAAACATCGACAAGAAAAAGTACTCTTGATTCCATCAGAATCTAGCTTAAATCAAGAACCAACCCTCTCAATTCAAGCGGTTTTCTTTTTGATTCAAGCAAAAATCCGATTGAATCAAGAGTATTTTTTCTTGTCAATGTTTTCAAGAGTCCGGACTCTAGATCCAATGTGTCTTTTTCCAGTGGGTTGTTTCCTTACTGTTGAGCGCGGCTCAAATAGATCCCGATCGCTGAACGATCACCCCAACTTCCGGCATAGTCTGAAAGTAGATCCTCGTGACTAATGAGAGCAATTAAGCACCTCGAGCTTTTCCCAATAACCTGAGCCGGCAACAAAATCGATGCCGATCGCTGATAAAGGATCGTGCAGCTTCCCTTCGATGGGCTGCCTTCACCTTAAATTTTATTGCCGACTTTAAGGTCAGGGTCGGGGTCGGATTCTCGCGGAGACCGCCAACCGCGCCTTTGGGCAAACAACGCTCGTAGCGGCCTCAAACTCCTCGTGTGTTCTTCCCGACTCGTTATTTTAGTTAACTCGATCGGATCCAGCCCGGGAGACAAAATGTCAAGTGCAGACGCGGGTTACGCAAACATATCACTATTTCCAGACCCACTCGAGATATTTTTTGGCCGCTTCTATTCGGTAGTTATGAAATGAGCTCGTCGATCGTCGAGTGGGAATTGAAAACTTCGTAAGCGGCATAGGAACAGCGGGCTCATCGTCGGAATTGATAGGCAAAGCGATAGACAAAGAAGATACAAGGAGTATGGAGCGATCCCATTGGTCGAAATGAGTGGTTCTTATAGACTAAGAGAGAAAATTATGGACTAACTGATGGGTCGTCTCGTGGGATGCCGTTAGTTAATCCCTTACTAACTTCGTTTGTCCATGCCCAATCACCCGTTAAACCAATAGGATCAGTCTATTATCATTTTCTCTTCTTTGTCTATCGCTTTATCTACCACTTTGGAAAAAAAAAAAAAACACATTGGATCTAGAGTCCAGACTCTTGAATACATTGACAAGAAGAAAGACTCTTCATTCAAGCAGATTTAAGCTTAAATCAAAAAGAAATCCTTTCAAATTAAGAGGCTTGGTTCTTGATTTAAGCTTAAATCTGATTGATTCAAGAGCATTTTTTTTGTCGATGTTTTTAAGAGTCTGGACTCTAGATCCAATGTTTTTTTTCCCAGTGCAATTTCAATCATCAGTCCTCTGGCTCCAATTACCCTGAAACACTCCAAACGGAGGGGTACGTTCCAGGCTGAGATGGAAAATTTCATTAAATTTTTTGAAACTTTTGAAGATGCGTTCAGGAGGTCAAAAAACGCCTAGAAACAGTGATTCTCGATTTTGACATCTTTCACCTCAACATACCTGCCTAAAACATTCACGCGTTGTAAATGTTTTCATTTATTTTAGAGGTTGCTCCTCTACTGGAGTAATAGCACAAAAAAAAAAAAAACCCAAGAAGAAGTTTAGAGGTTTGGTTTGGGCTAAATTTCTCTGTAATTCCCCTTTGTGCTCCCTTCGCTTATAGCACCTCAGTACAGTAGCATAAAACTGCCGCATCAAGGGGAAGACCATCTGAAAAGTTTTCCGGACTTCCGAAGGTTTAATTAATAATTCCGTTAAAAATTAGCACCTTTCGAATTTTGTGAAATTTTTTAGGGCCTTTTGGAATTTCCAAACGTGAAAAGGACAGGACGCGCGTTGATGACGGCGCAGGGATACAACTATTCGTGCTTGATGGATGTCCGTGTTGCATCCGCAAAATTGAAGGCGCGACAGCGCGAGGCGTGAACTCCAATGCTCCGCTGTGTGTTCCCAATGAGGTGTCGCTCAGATTCGGGGAAAAAGTCTGAAAATAAGACCCGATTATGTTACTCGGATCCTCGGCTGGGTTGCTAGCGTAGTCCTTGAAGCAACACCACTAATAAGACACATGGAAACACATTCAATATGGAATGAATAAATAGAGCAAGGGAAAGGACGTGTGTTCATAACGGCGCAGAGATACAACTATTCGTGCCTGATGGATGTCCGTGTTGCATCCGCAGAATTGAAGGCGA